AAACAAAGGCTTATAACATCTAAAGGAAAAAGTAGTACTCCAGACTCTGTTAGCAGGAAAATTGGTTTTTGGGGTCAGGGGTTCTGGGGATTTCTGTCTAGGATCTATGCAAGATCGGCATTGTCTGATTACCGTGGCTGGGACAAATAAACCTCTCTTTAGCTAGGAGCCTGTCCGGTGGAGGGGCTGAGGAGGGAAGCAGCTTTGGAGAGGTGGGTCTGCAGCCAGGACGTCCCCTTGGGGAACGGAGACCTGCAAGGTGCTGTCTGACAGACTAGAGAGCCAAGCTGAACAGAAGTCCATGATACACGTTCCCCATAGCTTAATGTACCATTCTAATAATTGAATTGTACTGTCACAAAAGTTTTGGTGACAAAGTTTCTCCCTGGGTCTTTTCCTAACCAGGGGTGATATTACTTGAGATTAGCATTTATTACCAGAATTTAGCCAGGAGAACTCTAAGTTTACCCAGTATGCATGCATGACACATGGCAAAGCAGATTAAGTCTAGAACTTTGTAAGTGTTAATACCCAACAATTAGGTGAGAAAATGTGGAAAACACCTTTGGGAAAACTTCAGTCATTTTAGCTGCAGACAGGTTTATTGTTGATGGATTTTTGCGTAGAAGTACAGGATTATAAAAATCCTTTAATCAGAAACTGATTCTTAAAGCCTTTGATTTCCAGTGTCTATATTTTTTATGTTGGATTTTATTTTTATGCTCTGGATTTTTTTGTCTGTTTACATTTTTACCCTGTTTTTTCTGCCTGGCTTTAGGAGGATTTCCCTTGCACCTCCTCCCACCATTTCTGTTCTGTTTTGAGAGTGAATAGCTCTTGCCTATTCCTTGAAAACATTTTTTTGAGCAGGTGTATGCCCATCTTATGGTGATACCGTAGTTTTGTACTTCCTGATAAGAATGTAATGTAGGACTTTGCTTTGATCAAAATACATTGCATCTACTGCTTCTCTCTTATCTTCTAAGGGCTTTGTATATGATCTTGAGAAATCTGAGTTGTACTAACAAAAGTTAGCTGTTAGGGATTTGCAGATGGATAGTGTGTTCAAATTGTTGGCACCTGATTCTAGAAAGTTTGAATTTAGAATCTAGAAAGTTTCTGTAAATTGGCTGAACTAACCTGCAATCCCTTGAGTCAGCTTTTTTCCCTTTTTTGGAAAAGATAGATCTTTGCCTTGCTCTAGTCTTCTGGGACTCCTCTGTGCTATGTGAGTTTTTCAAAACAACTGCTCGTGTTTCAAAGGTCACTTGCGTGAATATTTTTCACATATAAAACTTGCACTTCAGATAATTTGCACCCCTTTAAGCATCCTGCAGATAATTCAATACTTTTAATAACCCTTACCAATATAGAGGTCGATGACTATTAGATACTCTAGAGAATTAGGGACAGAGGAAAAAAAGAGGTATTAGAGCAAATTTCTACACATAATATTTACACGTGCATGTAACTCACGGTGCAGCTGAGTCAGGAGTTGGGTTTTTGTTTGTTTTTATTTTTTACAAATAAAGCCAGAGTTTACACACATGAGAACAGGTTAATTCCTTAAGCGTTCTGTGGCGAATTTCGTCAGGCCTCTAACTTGAACTGTCCGACCTTTTATAAATATTTCTCATCCTATTTTTTCTGTACTTTGCCCTGTCGTCTTATCTTCTTGTCAAAATTAATTTTGAGCATGTCTACAGAATTGATTGTTGCAGACCTAAACTTTGTTCCCACTTCAAGCCAGCTGGCTGGAAGCCAGCTCTGGTGTGTTGCTGTGCTTGAGCTAATGAGCTTTACTTCTCAGCAGGTCTATTAAACGAGGCAGAGCACCATGCTAGCAAGGTCACAGCTGGCAGTTCAGAGGTAGCTTGTGTCTGCCCAGTTCAGAGCATCAGCAAGGAAAACTCATGCCTACCTGTCATTCCCTGGGCAGAAAGACCCTTTTCTGACCACAGTCTCCCTCCTTCTGGAGATTGAAACAAGCAAGGCCTTTAATAATCAGCTATAGTTGTCTGCACTACCTGTTATTTCAACTTCTTTCTGATCTCATGATGTTTCCTTTTTGTTGAGGGCTTTTTTTTTTTTTTTGCCTTACCTCTTAATATATTGTGGAGCCTTTTATTATCACTTCTCACGTACTTTTCTAATTAAAACACATGTTCTGTTTTAACCTTTCTACTTTTATGTCTAGAAGGATGAGGCTGGGGAGAGGCTTAGACTCACCTTTATTAGCATATGCATTCATTTGCACTTCTTGTGTGATCTCCTTTTGGTGTTTAGTTGAGTAAAGATCGCCAGTGTGTCCTCACTGGTATTTTACTATGCTTCTCTCTAAAAATACTTAAGGCACTTAATAAGTCTTTCTCAATAAGTGTTGGCTCCCTTCCGTCTCTTTAGCCCTCAGATTACTTTCCCAAGAGACCATATCTACCTGTTCTGTAGCCTGTTGGACCCTGTTCTGTTAAACTTGTCTTTTTAGAGTACCGAGCTTTGTCATTACTGAACTGCTTTCACCTATACGCTTTTTCAAAGTCTCATTAGTTTTCCTCTAATGGAATCAAATCTAAAATATTTGCTCCCTCAACAGCTTTGTTGAACTCCTGAAAGAAAAAGCATCCACTGTACATTTTCAGAAATACCTGGAGGCTGCCACGTTATTTCTTCGGCAAGTGTCTGGATAAGTCCTCTGTTAGAAGCAGGTCCTGCTGTTTGGACTCTTCTTTTTGAAGTTTAGAAAAGCCTTAGCCACCTCTTTCTCTTAGTGAGCTAAAGTGATGTTTTGCAAGACTGGAGAATCTGCCTCCTTCCCATATTATGTTTATCATCCCCAAAGTGCAAGTTCCAGTATAAGTTTAACGTGTTATTTTAACTAACTGCTGAAAACAGTAATGTCACATTTATCCTTCATTGATACAATCTTTCTGAGTGCCTCTCAGTACTATTTCTTGTAGGACTCTTTCTGACCAGGGGTAGTTTTTCATTTACATGTGAAATGACAGAATCCTCCTGTTATATCAGAAACACAGACTATTTCCTCATGGCCTGACATGAAATGAATGCCTGAATGGCAAAATCTCATGGGATTGGCTCAAAATCAGAAGGCAGAATTTCTTTTTTTAACCTCATTGAGGGCAGGAGCATATCTAATTTCTCAAGAGCTATCCTAAGTGTATATGAGGAATTTTAATATGGAGTTCACAGCAAATATACCTACCATCAGAAGAATCTTTTTGTTTTTACTTCTGAATGGGTTCTTTCCCAGTACCTTTCTCCAGCCATTCTCCAACACAGATGCTATTGCCCCCAAATAATTTCTGAGCCCCAGACAGTTTCAGCAGCTTCCTGCGCCGGATATGGTTTCTACGTATTTAGAAACCCCAAGTTTGAAAACTGTTGTATTAAATCATGGTGACTTTATTCTTTATAAGATTAATATGGTTAAATCATTTTTACAGCTTTTTGATTCTCTGGAATTCACTGGGTGCTACCATTTATAAACAAGGGGTTCTCTTGCCTAATCTTGGCATTTGTGGTTCTGGTTGGTTCCAATGGCACTACAAAGGAATAACTGATAGGAAGAACGACTCATTGTTACTCCATTACAGAGCAAGAAACATCTTACAAGAACCTTGTCTCAGCCTTTGAAGTTAGGTTGTGACTTTTTTTTTTTATCCTTTAATTCATTATTATTGCTTAGTGAATAACAAAAAGCTGCAAGATTGAATATTGCATTTTCTACATTTTATATACTGTTTCAAAAGACATCTGCAATACTTTGTTTTAGATGTGTATATTCCTTGGCTTAGAAGAGGGACGGGGGAAGTAAGCAAGTGGCAGGGAATGAGCTTCTCCTCCTATTAAAGTTGGTAGGTCATTGTTGCAACAGAGTTAGATTTTTAAGCCTATTTATTTAACCTGAAAGTAGGTGTGAATGTGTCACCCTTCTGTCCTCCTGATTTCTAGATTACCATTCAAATGATTTTGAGGGGAGGTGTACATCAAGAGAGGTTTCCATTTTTGCAGCTGGGAGGTCTTTGAGGAAAAGCAATAGGAAGCAAAGAGTGAAGTAGAAGTTTGTCTTAAGGAAGCACCTGTGTTTCAAATTACAGCTCAGAGCAGTCCTCGCATTTAATTAGGTTAAATTAGCTTCCCAAATGATATGCAATGGGTGTGTGTGTGTGTGTGTGTGTGTGTATGTATATATATAAATGTACTATCTATATAAATACTATAATCTTTTTAAATTTTCAAAAAAAAATTAAGGATTTTTGTGTGAAAAATTCCTGCATTGTTTTATTTTCTTCATTTGGTGGAAGGGAATTATTTTAACAATATATTTCACCCAGTTTAAAAAAAATATTGAATGAATTCTTGATATTTTTATTGACTTTTCTTTAAAAACATCACATTTTAAATATGAAATGACAAGTGTTAAAGACATTTGGAAAAAACAAGAGCTTCAACAAATGAAAATGACTTTGATAGCTTAGTGAAAATAGGGTGTGTTTATTGGCTTTTTTAATAAATAGTTCATAAGAAAGAGTCTTGAATATTATATATTAATGAAATATATTAATATATATTAAAATTATGTATTAATGAAAACACTCCAAAATCAGGAACTGAACAGACCCAAAAGTGTCTTCTGTTTTTTCACCTTCTAAAACTCATTCTTCAGGTCATGCAAGAGGTGTGTTGCTAAGGAAGATGAAAAAGACAACCTCACTACCTAACCTTGTGTTTTTTGTTCCCTTCCCTTTAAAAATAAAAAGAATACTTTGTTCTTCTTTTCCAATGCCATTCTGACACTGGTGCGATAAACAAGCATACAAAAGTAATCTGCTGTTTTGATGTCTATTTCAAAACCGTCGAGTTAACAATATAATAGGTCTACCAAAAATGTAAATTGACTTTAAAAAGCAGTATCGATCCAAGGACTGTATAATGCTTGCATTGTCTAACTTGAGTTCCCTACTTTTTTGTTTTGTCTATAGACACCCTATTTTTGGCCATCTAATTGTTGGGAGCCGGAAAACACAGATTATGGTCAGTGTGGACATCTTTCCTATTTCTTTCGGGAATTGTGTACTAAATGAATGGAAACATCATTGCAGTCTATCTTGTTTGGTCATCCCATTGTTTAAAAAATCACTTACGTTGTGCAACCCCTGTGCAAGAATTGCTGATACTGAACTGAAGATGTTATTTCGCTTTTCAAGGTTTATTAAAGTGGGAGTCCGACCTCGGGTGAATCCAGGAGAAAAAGCAGTCTCCAAACACCCCAAAATCTACTTTTCCTTTTACACTTTCTGTTTACTTCATGAAGTGCAATCATTTGCAGTGATAAAGTCTCAGTAAAACAAAGGATACTTTCTTGATGATTATACAATCGTTATTCTCAGGTTCAGATGCAAAGATGTACCTAATTTAGAACTCTTACCTCTGAGATATGGCACATGGAAAATTATTTATTTTGGAAATTAGGAACTGTATTAGAAATACATCTTATTTATCTGTCTGTTATTTTTAAGAGTTTTATTCATAAATTGCACGTTATAATTATTGATGTGTATTTACACAGTAAAAACTGGACATAATTGGTAGTGAAATATTGCAAAAAGCCTCAAGCTAAGCTTTTCAAAAATGATAACCAAAATTAGGTTCCTCTGTACACCAAATAATGACACAATTTTAAAAGAAAATGGATAATCTATGGACAATCTCATGTTCATTCAAATACCAACTGTAAGCACTCAGCTGACTTATTTAGGTGACCAAGCACCTACATGATAGCTTCTCTCTTCAAAAACTCAAATTTTGAAACTCTATTTATAAGCCTTTGGAAATTTAGATGGGCATTTACATGTAATAGTGACTCAGTCATAGCACTCCAGAGCTGAACATTGAAGGGATCAGTGTAAGGATGAATGATTCTAATAGACGATTGCCACCTTTCTGCAGCTGACACAGTTTGATTTTGAATACATTGCTAAGTAAAACAATTCCAAGCTGAGATTTTCGGAGGAACTGAGTGCCTTCAATGTAGAGTTTGGAAACAGTGCCAGTTTCCTCATCCTGTAGAATGAGGAAATGCTTATCTTTCTTATAAAATACTGAGGTTTGAAGATGTCCAGCAAATAGGTATCAAAAGGTCCTAGTCAGCAGTAATTCGTATCACACCTGATTGCTGCTCCGTATGAGGAAATTGGTTGCTGAAGGACAAGTGTTTAGGTTACCACTTAGCATAATATTCTTTCTTCTCCTTGAAGGTGTTATTTGTTTTCCTCAAAGGGGCACTTTGGTATAGACTCCTAATATGTTAAAGACCAGAAAGTAATTTACTGTAGCCTTAAAAGACATTGAGCTGGTCAGCTGTAATGCCTACGATATTACTAGGGGAATTTTAATAAGTAAATATATGCTCAAAAATACTTATTAGAACTTACTGCTGACTTGAGGTCAAGTTGAGGAATAATTTTGATTAATATCCTTTAATGTGAATTGAGAGATGCTGACTTTCTAGTCACAGCTAGTTACTAGAGTGGGCAATGAATTTCATACATTAGCCGGTTGGTGAATAGAAATCTTATAAAACCTGTGCAGTTTTTGTATGCCAGAAAGTCACAAAATTAAATTTGGGGTCAGATTCTTCATCATGTGAGGAGGTGCCTTTGTTCAGGAGTAAGCTTACAGGTTTAAGAGATTTTGAGGTTTAAATATAAAACCTGTAAAAAAAATGTTCCACTTGGTAAATTTAAGTTCTTCTGTTTGTTGTACTGGGGTGAGGGAGGGAAAGCCCCAAACTGCCGTTTCATTATTTCATTGGCGTATGAGCCAAGGGTCCAAGCCTCTAGGAAATTTGCTTGTAACTCCCCCTTGGAAAGGGGTAGAGCCTCATCTACCTAGGGCAACGATTTATTGCTAGAGTTGGCTAGTACTAAAGCATTCTCAGAAAAGTAAATTTCTAAGACAACTTTTCAACAGTGTTCTTACGGGGTTAGCCTCTTCCCAGCTCCAGAAATTATCATTTGCCCTGTGGCCTGATGATTTTTTTCACAGAGCTGTCTGTGAGTGTAAGGAGATGGCAGATGAGGGGAGAATGGAATACAGCTGCTAGCAAAAAGGATCATGTAACTGTTGTAAACAAATGGTCATCAGAATAATAAAGAGAAGAGATGATATTTGAAAATCTAAAGTTAATCTTAAGGAAGATTGAAATGTTTGGAGGTTAATAAAGGATAAATTTCTCCCCAAATCAACTCCAAAGAGGTTCTGCAGATTTTCACAGTAACTCCATTGCTTACTAGAAAATATAATAAATAGAATTTATCTTATTACAGATATGCAAATGTATTTAGTACTCATAATGCATTATGGTGCTATGCAGTGCTTCCTTTCTTAGAAACTATGGGCTATGTCCTGAACAACCTTGAATCTTCACCTCCCAAAACGAATGAGTGTGACAGGCATTCAGAGTCTCTCAAACAAGCAAAAAATAGGCTTTCTCAGTAATCTTCCTTTATCAAAGTTAATAACAAAGCAAAGCGCTTTCTTTGGCATTGACCTAATTTTACAAGCCTTTGAAAACACGCTATAATTTTATTTTATTTTTAAAAATACTCCCAACCATTTATCATTACTCACACATAGCTGGGCTACTGCCCAGAATGAAGAATACTGCCAGTAGAATAATTAATTAAACTTAAGCTAGATATTAAGTGAGATTGAGATACTCTGTGTGTTCATTTATTGCCCGAGCTAACTCAGAAAGAAATAATCTTTGCATCTTTGGAGACTACTGTAAAACATCGTTTCATTTCCTGCTCTGTGTTAGCTTGTAGTATCAAATATTTCATAACAAAGATAATGTAAAACAAAAAAAAACCATCAAAACAAAATATTCTAAAAATGTTCTTCAAGAAACTGCAGACCAGTTCTCACAGTAAAGCAGCACAGTGCTGCAGCTCAGTGGCAGAAAGAGTCAAGAAACTGCAGACCAGTTCTCACAGTAAAGCAGCACAGTGCTGCATCTTAGTGGCAGAAAGAGTGTTTGGATTAATATATCACATGTCAGAATGAGATTGCATGGCCTTGGTAACTGTCAAAATAGCAATCATTTGATCATTTTGAGGCTACTAAGAAAATATCAATTTTCAGAAAAACATTTTCTTCCCTTTTTCATGAAAATCATGCACTAAGACATCTCAAGATAGATGCCTCAAGTTGCAGATCATTTTTAAAAGGCAAGTTCTTAGGTTTCATCTGTTGAAAGTACCGATTTTAATGCTGTTTGTCAGGTGGTCCGCCCATGCAGGACACGTTCTGTGCGGAATCCCATTTGTTTCAACAGGATTTTATTAATGAAGATATGTGTGCACGCTTCACTTTTTTTGTTTTAGAGGCTGATGTAGATGAAGGCACTTTGCATGTCCTGTGTGTTAAGTCACATCACTGAATTATGATTGATTTTGTGACTGTTAGAATTGGATCTCAGGTTCAGCAAACTGGCTCTGTTTGTTATGGAAGTGAGTACAGCAAATGGCTGAGCACGCCACCTGCCTGTAATGCAGGCAAGCTAATTTTTGACTAAGAATTTTTTCTGGCAGATTGAAAAACAGTTCATGTCATCAAGAGTTAATTAAATAACAAGACTTGTTAAGTTTATAGCATCTCAGAATTGGTAAATATGTCTCATACGGAATTGTCACTCCATACGCATATGGCCTCATGGGACGAGTCAGGTTCTGTTGGAGGTTGAGTGACCCGTAGCTGTAGGAAATTTGAGGAATTTAATTCTTCACTATTCCTGTCTTTGAATGTGATAAATAAGAAAGATGAGAGGTTAGGGGAAAAGTCCATTCAAATTGAAATACAAATTATTTTTATATTTGAAAAGCTCAAGTCTAAGCCTAAGCAGAGAAAAGTAGTTGTGAGAATGTGAGAGATACATAAGAATTTCAAGGCAGGTGGGTGGAGGTATGAAGGAAAATTAGCAACTTTTAGCCATTTCCTCACTGCTGATGTTTAGACTAAAATGTGCCTGTGACATACAGACCTCTTTTTAAATTTAACTGGAAAAAAAATGCATTCGAAGAATAAAATTTTGCAAACAACAGTGGCATTTATAACACAAAAGAGATTTGAACAAAGAACAGACAACAATCAATTGCATCTATCTATTTGCAACAGGATGCTATTTAAGTCTTGGAATTTTTTTGTTGTGCATTTCTCCTGAATGAGTTAAAAATGGAGGAGTGGGACTGTACCCAGAGAGGACATTCTACACACCTTTGCTTTAAGAGAAAAAGTAGGGGCAGTCAAGGAAGCAGTACTTAGCAATCTGGTTATAATATATGAACAAACTAAAACAGGCTCTTTTTCAGTGTAGATTGCAGTTGATTATAAATTTGATGCTTTCTGGCACTCTTTACTGTCTGAAACATTCTTTTTTGTGGAAGCCATTTCATACCAATTTCTTTTTTGTTGAAATGTTGGAATTTTTGTAGCAGGAACAATATGTGAGGGTTCAGTAAGGTTTTAGTATTAAATGGGAGATAAATGCAATATGCATGCAGGTGTCAAGTGCGGTGTTCAAAACTGGTAAGTTAATTGAGAAGTTATAATGGGATTTTGGGCAGTAATATTTTTTCACAGTGTACTCCTTTAAGTGAGCAAGCTACTCAGAAGTGGTGGACTACTAGTAACCTGAATTCACATGAGGCTTAAAACGTGCTTACAGACTTTGCAGAACCTTGGTAGGCTGTGTAGAACACATTAAATAACTGCTTTTGCAACATGAGTTTAAGAGCATACGTCCATATGTTCTGTAAATGCCACTGAATGAGACTATATTTCTGTGTATTCAAAAAAAACTCTAAAATTTTGATGTTATGAAGAAGAACAAGTTTTGGAGATGTACATATTTTCAGTAGCCTTCCAGATAAAGTCATGTGCTGAAAAAGAAGCGTTCTAGGAAATTAGAGCACTCGCAGGAAATAAGCCTTAATTAACTGCGCCCTTTAAAAGTATAAGCTCCCTGTCTGGAT